AAAAAAACAGACATTTGGTACTAAACATAGATAACCAGCAACATTCTAAACAACAAAGTTTAGAAACAAAATATATAAGTGGCTGAAAAACCACATGACTACAAACCTGTTCCAGACACACGTAACTCTTGGTGTAAATATGTGTCTGTCCTTGAATTAATATTCTTTCAGTTTCCAGTTATGACCCCATGTTAGTGTTTCACTATTGAAAATGAAGTTGGATTGGTAATAATTGACTTTCAATATTTCTTACTTCAAAGGTGTCTTAACTGGTTAGGCTCAGCCGACTTGCTTTTTACCAACCCAGGCTGACTATTTCAGAAAACTGAAACAGAAGTTCTGACGATTATGTTGTGAACTCCTTAAAATGAAGGACCCTAAACAACTCTGGGTCCGGTCAGTACTTGGATGGGACAACCGTGTTGCTATTGGATGAGGTATTTGTGCACCAATAGGTGGCTCTCTTCCACCCAGACCAGAATTTCAACATGAAGACGCCAGCATGGTGATCAGAGACTGTGCTATATTAGGCGCCATCCATTGGATAAGATGATAGCCCTCACTGCCTGATCGTTTCAAGATCATCAATTGTTCTGCCCTACTTCTAAAGTTTGCTTGCTGTAGCAATGAAAAATAAAATTGTAGGTTGAAATGTATTGGAAAACACCATGATTTCAGACCGTTGCTTAGCACAGGTTTCAGCATTAGGATGGATCAATATTATCCAAATACAGCGTTATGGGATAGCCTGAGCCTATATCTCAGGCAGCGCAACTCTTAAAGGCACGGACTTAGAGTACTAACCTTTTCTTGTGAGGTAGAAGTGGAAAGCATGTTAGTGACTTGTGTTGGCATTTTAAAAGAGAAATCTCTTGGAGGCTATTTCTCTGGTAAGTCTTTGTGGTACATTATTTTGTAAAAGACTGCAATATAAATATGAAATAGAGGACAAAACTTGACTTTTTGTGTCAATGACATAATCAGATTTACACTGTATTAAATGTGCATTGTATCCATAGGTCCAAGGATGTATCTATAGACTACACACATAACACAGAAGACATAACAGCTATTTCTTTGTGTACATTGAAATGTAGCATTGATGGAAGAGTTTGTGACCTCAGACTCATTGCAATCAATAGTATATCTGTTAATATCGGTGATTCATTTTAACCTCCTTATCTGCATTCTGCTAATGTGCTTACTGGTCGCAAAGCAGTATTGTTTTAAGTTGCACTAAATTATCAACAAGAAATGTTTATTGTTTACAAACTGCAGCCAAGACGGCTATTTAATTATGTTGAAGTTAATTGATGTTTGGTCATGTTTTCTAATGAAGTGATTTGAGTCAGCTGGGGAACCATAGTGAGATTGATCAGTAATTTGAACAAGACAATGAAATCAAATCTCTGTGTGAGTTTCATACGCAGTATTGCAATGAAAAGGGTGGTGGTAAAATGACAAAACAGGCAGCTTCTTAAATCAAAATAAAACTCAATCAAATAAGAATCAGATCTTGACCCCACCTTGCTATGCAAGCAAATAATAAAAAATAATAAATTCACCCCCTCAATTCAGGGATAACCAAGAGATACACAGTCTGGCACACGAGTCCTTATTTCTCTGGCACAGATTGATAATAGAGTAATAATCAGACCCAATCTTAGACAATTGAATTATTATTAATAATAAATAACACTAAAAGAGCAGTTACACTAAGCAGATATCTATAGGTCTGTGAGTGTACAGAGCCCTGCCTTTTATAGACTTCATAGAAAAGCCCATAATTCTGTCCTCACAATCGAAATACAACAGAACACCTTAAAAAGCCAAGATAAAGTTTATCTTTCTGTTTCCTTCAGATGTACTTTTCTTGTACAAAACACTGTTCCTGTTCTAGGACACTGGCTTTGCATGTTCTCTAGCCAAGACCTTGCACATTAAAAGGTATAGATGTTAGGCATCATCAAATCACATTTCTCAAGTAGCAGACTTCAGACTTGAAACATATCACTTAATTGGGGCTTTCAGTTTAACTGAGGTCGAGGCACCACAGATAGAAACTCCACATCAGTCATAGGTTTCGAATTTTTTTTTTAAATGCGGTGGATCAAAATTATCCATCCATCAATTTTCTAACTGCTTTATCCCATACAGGGTTATAGGGCAGCCTGAGCCTATCCCAGCAAGCAACGGACGCAAGGCAGGAAACCGAAGCACCTGGAGAAAACCCACACATTCACAGGGAGAACATGTGAACTCCACCCAGATAGCACCCCAGGATTTCAATCCACAACCCCAGCACTGGGAGACAGCACAACCAACCACTGTGCCAACATACTGCCTGGATCAAAGTTATTTTCTTCACATTTACTATTGCTATTAGAAGCAGTGGTTGTGTAAAATTGTGATGTGTTAAGTATCAAGTACAAAAATAGGTTTTGCATTGTGCTTTACCTAGTGTTGTAGATGTGTAGGTTGCTCTGTCCTTTCCAGCTCTGTTTTTTAGTCAGCCCAATGGCTGCTCTAGGAGAGTACTGGGAGAAAGGACCAAACATGTCCGCAGTACTACTTCAACTGTCAGTGGGGAGGAGAGCAGAGTGATGGAGCCAGTTCAGAGAGGGGGATTATTAGGAGGCCATGACTGGTAAAGGCCAGGGGGGAATTTGGCCAGGATGCTGGGGGTACCACCCCTACGCATTTCGAGAAACATGCTGGGATTTTTAATGACCACAGAGAGTCAGGACCTCAGTTTTACATCTCATCCGAAAGAAGGCGCCTTTTTACAACGTAGTGTCCCCCTCATTATACTGGGGCACTAGGACCCACACAGACCGCAGGGTGAGCGCCCCCTACTGGCTCCTCTCATACTTCTTCCAGCAGCAACCTTAGTTTTTCCCAGGAGGTGTCCTATCCAGGTACTGGCCAAGAAATACACAGTCTGGAAGTATGAGCTCCAGTGGGCTGCCAGCTGTGAGCTGCAGGGTGATATGGCTGCTGGCAGATAACCACTTGTAACCACTAGCCACCCATTCAGCAGAGCTCACCTATGTCTTTTTCAAGATGGCATGTCTAACTCAAGATAACATGCTTATGAAGCCTGTCCTACACCCCCTTTATAGTGCTAATCCCAAGAAGTGACTTGACTTGTACTTGGCTGTTGTGCTCTGAGCTCTTTCTCAGTGTACTTGCATAAGGTCAGGCTGCTAAGACTGGCGGTGTTGTTGCAGTCAGTTATGTGGTGCTGATGTAAAACAAATGTGTTCCTATTGACTTTTTAGCACCCAAAGTCCCTTTTCCTAAATAAAGCTTTCTTTGGCTCCAAGTGTGTCTGGTTTACTTCCTTTGCCCTGCTCAGAGAGTTAGTGAGGTGTTCCAAATTTTGAACTAAAAATGTGAACACCTGTAAGAGTGAGGTAAAGCAGACAGATATATTATATTTTATGATCTCGGGTAAGAGCTGAGACAGCCTAGTTGAGACTTTCATTTTGCTATGTAAAGGAGTTCAGCGTGAGAATTTCTTTTCTGATTTCTTCCAGCCCCAACTCGCAGAGACTCAGAGTGTGATTGGCTCTGATGACCCCCCTCCCTGCTCTGGTTCTTAATGAGCTTCAATCCAAAACCACGTCCAATGCTGTCGACGAACTACTGTGGATGATATAAAACTAGGTGGGTAAGTCGATCTCTCAATTGGTTGTTAGACTTTTAAATGTCATTTTGTGTTTAGATCAACGTATTTTTATTTTGATCCTCAGCTAGTGCGAATGTATTCATCCATTGTCTAACCTCCTTATCCAATACAGAGTCACTGGGAACCCAGGACCTATCCCAGCAAGCAACTGACACAAGGCAGGATACACCCTGGATGGGACACCAGTCCATCACAGGGCACACACAGACGCACACACACCCGGCCGATTTTCCCAGAAGGCAATTAACCTACCAGCTTGTCTTTGGACTGCGGGAGGAAACAGGAGTACCTGGAGGAAACCGACATAAACAGTGAGAGAACATACAAACTCCACACAGACAGCAGCCCAGGGCTCCTGCACTGTGAGACAGCAGTGCTGACCACTGAGCCACCATACTGCCCACCCACTCACATATACACAGAGAGGCTGAATCTGTTTTCTTAATATACAGATACGCAGCCTTGTGTCATTTAATCAATTTTATGATTTTGCTCATTGCAGGTTTGCTCAGTAATCAACAGCTGTTCCTGTATTAATGTGTATTGGTTTTCATGATGACAATGAATCAATGTATTGACGTTTTAGAAAATGATTTATCAATAGTGAAAAATTAGGCGTCCCCCCAGCTTTAAACACCTGCATTGCCTTTATTAGCTATTAAACATCTTCATGAGAAGAGAACCTATCCAGTAAACAACGAACCACAACCAGCAATGAGGACCACATATCTTCCTTGAACGTCTTGAGTAAAGGCATGCAATTTTAAGGTTTTCCTCTTTCTAAAATTATTCTAATGATTATTAAAATCCTAAATCTATTCTTAATTAAAGATCAGTAAATCATTAAAGAAACAACACAATCCCTGATGGCATCTCCTTAGTTTTTCCCAGGAAGTCTCCCATCCAGG